TCCTTTCACGGTTTCCCACGCCAGCCTTGGGCAGAGCGATGGATAACCGTCGGTCTTTATGCTGTGGTCTGATTTTATTCATTGCTTCACCTCTTTCAATCATTCTTCGACCTCCTTACGCTTCCCGCCTGCTGGACCCCCGATCAGCGCTCCACCCCCAGGCCTGCCGCACCCCCCCCCCCCACGTGCTCAGAGACACCTGTGTTTCTCAGCTGTCTCCCACATCAGAACCCTCAACCACCGACACACACAACATCATAGGACCCTTCGACTTGTCTGATCAAATCCTTCCCCCTCGTCGGTTTTACACTCTTAACGCCCCCCGGCCCTGCAGGCACGCCGACGTGTCCATGGCGTCATTCAGCTACGACGCTGAGAGAAGAGAGTTCATCTCATACGATACGCCGCGCTCCGTTCGGCAAAAGATCTCCTACCTGAAAGAGAAAGGACTCGCGGGATCCATGTTCTGGGAAGCGAGCGGCGATAGGGCGGATGAAAACAGTTTGATCTCTATGAGTTCTGAACTCTTGGGCCCATTCACGGGTCAGGCTCAGAATCAACTTGACTACCCCAACAGCCAATACGAAAATATCAGAGCAGGAATGGAGTGAGGTTTTGAGAAGACCGCGGGATGCCATCGTTCGCAGCATGACTAGTTTCGGCAAAAGGACGTGTACAGGGACTTAGGAGCCGTACGAAGACCTGGACAGGGACTTCCATTCCAGTATTAGATAATGCAAAGGCTTCGGCACTGTTGTTCGCGCCCTGCACCTCCACCACCACCACCACAGTATTGTACCACCACCCTCTTTTGACATTGAAGCCTCTCATAATGGTCCACGCTTCTGGGATATTCTGCTTCATCGTGGTCTCTGCCCTTGGTGCAGTCCGTGGGGAATCGAGAGTTTACATGTTGGGTACGCAAAACTCTACCAACTCCACCCGGTACGCGCCGCAGGCAGTCGACAACGTTGCCGTGAATCCAATGAGCACATCGATTTCATATCCATCAGGGTGGTCCAGTCGTTCATTTGGTACGCTCGAAACCTCTTGTAGTTGTGTGTTCTCGCCAGAGTCTTCAAGTGTCTCCCTCGCGGTTCAGCAGCCAACGAAGCATACTGTTGTCACACTACCTGTTCCTGTATCAATGCCACCCACTAGTCAACAAACTCTCACGAAAAGGCCGCTGTTCGCCAACTCGACGCGAGGGAAGGGTGGTGTCATGGAGACCGGCCACATTCCTGAACCGACCTCAGAGATTGTCATAAGCGAGGCCAGATATGCAAAACCTCTATGGTATAGTCTGACCTTCGCGTTGCTGCTGTCGATCTGAGACGAGTGTAAGCTGTGGCTGCCCTATATGTAGTTCTCGTGTCTTTCGGCACTCTGGTATCACGTTTGGGGACTCCAGTCAGTCAATGTATGTAGAAACGCCTCTGCTTCAGTCTCGATCGTGCTGGTGAGGCACACGCATGGAAGGAATCTAGATGCATGTGGTTCGAGCTAAGCATTAATTGAACTGTGAGCGGCTTACGGCTCAACCAGAGTAATTCCGTCACGTATCACTCATCTCGAGTGCAGCGACAGCCTTTTGTATGCTGGCCGGCTGGGCTTTGCGATGGCCAATGCGTCCGCCCTTTTGCTCCTGTCTCACTTGGGGCAGTAGTGGTTTGCGGGCCGCCTGTTGTGAGAAAGAGAGCCTGGGCACCTTGTTACTGGCGAGTAGCGTGGTTAAGTGATTGAATGTGCCTGCGGTCCATTCCGTGTGTCGTCCATCGAGGACCGGGTTTGTCCTCCACCATGGACTGGGTGTGTCGTCCACAGTGAACTAGGATTGTCGTCCATTGTAGACCAGGTGTGCTGTGTCACTGATAATATAAGCGCGCTGACTAAAGATGTCCGCAGCCCTGGGTCGGTCAGCGCTTCATCCCAGCAGCCTTCGTCGTTGGAGTATTGGCCATGGCTGGTTCTACCGCGGCTGCCCTCTTGAAGTCATTCTTTGCAGTTGCAACTTTCGGAGCTACAGACCCAACGATAGGCGGACCCTAGCCTTCTTCCTTGTGACAATAAGCTCACCGTTAAGATATTGGATCCCGAATCGGCGTATCGTTTAGAAAGTGGTGGAGCCAATCGCCAGGTAGGAAACCCCAGGGCTGTCGCCGCGTTGAAAGGGCTACCAGGTGCACAACCACAAACTTCGTGCTCCTGATTAGATCTGGAGTATCGCCTGGCGCAGAGCTTGTAAGAAGGTAAGACACACGAGTAGTTCTTGATCTTCCGGGGGTGGTCCAGAGCCGTTTGTTTATTTCTTTCTTTGTTGGTGTCGCATCTTCAGGACGACATGGCGCTGGTGCCTAAACCACTGCACCTCCCTCCACCTCAGGTGCCGACTCCAGTTGGGCGCTGTTTCCTGGCTAAGACAAAGTTCACCAGCAATGTCCAAAACGATAGATGACCTGCTTCTATCGTAGAGGCCTGCTTTTACAACAAAAGTAGACCACCATGGGCTCAGAAAACCAGCAGTACGTTGTGGAGGACGAAATCGCTGCCTTCTTCTCCAAGACGTCGATCCCCCGCGCAAGTTGCGATGCATTAGCCAGGGAGCTCGTTGACGGTGACCAAGTCGTTCCAGTCGCAGTGCAGGGAGCCTGCTCGTACACGGTATACGCTGGACCAAACCTTGGCCACATCGTTCAGTTTCGCCTCAAGACTCTCGGGCTGAAGGTGGAGACCGCGGCTCTTGCCCGACAGGTCTTCAACACCTTAGCGCCAGACGTATCGTTCAAGCAACAGCTCGGCGAAGACTGCACGACACCTAGGCGGGAGCCTCTACTCGTCTACGTCATGGCTCGTATGCGAGGGATAAGCTATCTGGACTTCAAACGCTTTCACAGATTTCCAGAAAACTCACCCGAGAGGAAAGCCTGTCGTAAGAACCCGATGCAGGATGTTGCAAGGTCTGCCGTAGCCTATCATCTGTACTGCGAGCTGTGCTGATCTTTTCTGACGTAGATTCTTTGCTCTTGCCTGGAAGACGCCGCAGGAGGTTGGCCGGACCGATTGCGATTGCATGGCTGAGATCTTCCAGAAAGAGCTTCAGATGCTGCTCATCGCGCTGCCCGACCAGCTTCACCGGTTATCCGCGCCACGTTGGCGTCATTGCCCAGCATCTTCTCCCTTCCCATGGTTCTTCTGCGCAAAGATTTTGGGGACTGCAACATCATCGTGGGAGAGGAGTCATGCCATCTGGTCGGCGTCATTGATTGGGCCGAGGCCGAGATTGGCCCCTTCGGCACTAACCTACATTCACTGCAGAGTGTGATGAGCAAGCTGGACCTGAGAAAGGGTCGGATCAGATATGAAGACTACGATGAGCTGGCGCGCTTATTCTGGGAGACCTTGAGCGGTGGGGTCGGCGGACTGAGGGACAATACTACCAGGTCTATCAAGGCGGCAATGGTCTTGGGGCTGCTGCGATCTCGAGGCTTCACCAGCCGGCTTGCGAATGAGCCTGAGGCGAGACCGATCAGGAACGATGACAGCGGACGATACAATATGATGATACTCGATGGACTGCTGCCGAACCCGGCTACGCGATTCGAGGGGCTCGAAGAATGGCTGAACGGAATGGACACTGAACATGAGTGAAGGTTGAATTCCTATGTAGGCCGCAGCTACATGACACCAGCCTCGACAAGGACAGCTTTAATGTCGTCCACATTCTCCAACTTGGGGAGAGGTTTGCCTGAATTGAACACTTTATGGTTTCCACTCGACATCTCCGCATGTGTTTCGTTGCTCTGGCAAACGCGGGGCTTTCCATCAGACGACTCGAACGTCCAGCCAGTAACGCGAGTCGGCCGGCAACCCTTTACGATGGAATTGCCTAGCATGATGGTCCCTTGGTCGAGGACGAGCTCAAACATGCTGACATGGCGGCAGGGCCCACCTCCGAGGACTTGAAGACCAATTAGCCCAGCAAGATTATTGGACGTGATGTAGCAAGAGAACTCCGCAAAAAATCCGTGCCCGACATTGCTAAGGTCAAGTAGAAGCCCGTCCTAAAACTCGTAGGCACATAAGCCGCCGTTGACGAGAACGAAGATGTGCCCGTGGACCGATGACTGCTCCAGCTTTTTGATGTCTGAGTCTTGGCCCAGCGCATATCGGGGTCCTGAAAGTTAGTTCCTACCATGACAGTGCCTTCCAGGATTTGAAAGTGCCCATAGATGAGGTGAATCCCGAAGATCTTCTCGGCACGGTGGCGGACGAATAGTGCTGCAAGGTCCTGGATGTGCTGATCTTCAACAGGAGGCTGGTCCTCGTCACTCTTAAGGCCGTTGTAGCTGGATATCACCATGTCAGCCAGGCTAGGGTCTCTGGCATGTGCGCCAGGCAATTTGGTGGGGGGGGACATACAGCGTCCGACTTTTCTGGAAGTCATGATCGTTCAGAGCCTGATCAAGAGCCAAAAAGGTGGGAGGGTCCACCGTCAGGACAGCCATTTCCCTGGAAGAGACTTTGAAAACAAACCGAGTAAGGTTCTTGTTGGTGACAGCCAGCGTGGTCAGAAATTTCGATACACTGCACCAGGGTGGTGAGAGGAAAATCGAGGAGCGGATGTTTCTTTAGTCGACAACTCGCTCAGGCGATCCTAGAAAGGACTCGCAGAATTGGCTGGATAGGTAGGGCGGAGGTGGCGTATGAGCAGGCAGCGACGTGGACTGTAGAAGACGCAACGCCTTGGAGTCTCTTTGGACGGCCAACGCCGTGGTATACTGCATGGCGGAGCCACGATAGCCAGTCATCACTATCATCACCATTATACGCCTCCTGGGCCACACAGTCAGTAATGCAGCTATCTGACACACCCGCCCTCGGAAACCATTGGCAAGAAATCTATCCACCACAGGTCTTGCGGCGGATGAGACTGAACAAATAGGGGGATCAGCATCTGCGCTCCCCCCCCCCCACCCCCCCTTCCCCCTGATGGTCTAGGCTCTTGTGTGTGGCTGGGCGCATTTCTCATGTCGCTTCTAGTAAATCAGTCCACGGCTCGACACCCACGCGCAATTGTGGTCGCTAGATTAGCGGCACGAACAGCATCGGTGGCCGATTCAGGCGAAGCCTGCATATTTCGGTCTGACTTGGAAAGCGCATCCTGCCGGCTCGTTGGTCCAGATTCGGGATTTTGGCAGCTAAGCAAAACTTTGGGTACAGACGTGATAAATTGGGGATGTGGAAAATTACGCGTCGGCTTCCTGTCACCGCCATCGTAGCGGTGACAGGTCACATCTCACAGACAAGATTCCAAAGTGCAAGTCTGGCTTGTTACGTCTCGCTCAAAGTAGCAGTCGTTGGTCGACAGTATCACTGCAGGAGCTGCGAGTGCGTTGTTGATGAATGACGATTGACCCTAAACAAGACCTTGAATTTCGATCCATTCATGTTCACGCCATGAAATCACCAACGAATCCTGAAATGTCTGTTCGTCTGTGCAGGTTGATCAGCAGTTTTGCTTTCTCTTTTCGCTCACCGAGCTACTGAACTTACTAATCGAGCCTTAGGCCAACAGCCCAAGGCATCGGCCTTGTGAGGAGCCTGTGGGAAGCAGCCTCCTCGAGTACAATACAGGAGCTAATCGAGGCCCATTGAGTTCACCGATGTGACTGACCGCAACATCAAATTTGTAATGATCACATGGCACGTCCTGGCTAAGATTCGACCCCGCGAAGAAGGCTAATCGCAGAGAGGTGGGAATCCACCTCGTCGAGGCGCCCAGTGGCAGCGAAAGATTAGAGGAGGAAGGAAAGGAGTTACTTCGAAGCAAAGCCAGTTTCCTGAATTTGAGACACGCAGTGAGGTTCTATGGTATACCTTTCGGTGTCTACCGTGTGGTGATGACACTACTTGACCATGGCGACATGACGTCTTTCGTGCTCTATGCATAGCTCGGCCAAATGCGATTTGTGGAAGGCTTTTGCAACCATTGGTCGAGCATAAGCTGTATTGCCTGTCACAGGTCAATCATTGGTCACTGTACGACCTGCCTTAAGGGGGCTGACAGCCCATCTTCACAACCGATGCCTGATGGAGCAGCCAGCTATTCCACAGCTGTCCACGAACCAACTTCCCATTTCGAGCCCACATTCCGCATACTTGTCAGAATTTTCTCGATGAGCTTTGCACACAACATCGAACGCCAGGCTGAGGCCACTGCCCTGTGTTTCCCTCGAGTCACTTCAACCATGTATGATGATCGAGATCGAGCGGGGCAAGGCTGTTTCCTCTGCCTCGAGAGTCCTACGCAGGGCCAGTATGCTGTTCTCGTGCCATGTGTTCGACCAACAGAGCCTCCACAGGTGGTAGGATTCTCCGATATGTTTACCAGCCCGAAACCAATGTATGGGAAGATGATGTCCTGGGAAACTGCCTGTGAGTCAGACGAGCAAATCTATCGGAGATTGGTGGATACGTGTTACCGGTATCTGGGGCCGTGGAAGAAATGGCTGCCATACTATGGAATCGACGGAGTACTGGAAGTCAACGTAAGGCCGAAAAGATCGCTCTGGTTGGCATGGCTGACATTGTTGAAACCGTAGTTTGCCTTTGCTGGTATTGTTGAACCGGATGAACGCTATCCGATCTGTATGGATCCAGTGGAAGCAAACAACGTCGCTGCAGAATGCGAGAGAATCATAGCGAAACACCCGACGGGTCCATATCTTGATATTGACGAGGTATGCCTGGACGACGACGAACACAGTGACCAATGCCTCGTTGGTATGGATGAGTGGTCCCAACCCTGTATCAGAGCCGCCGCGGAGGAAGCAGTGCAGCGCCGTACTCGGCTTCTGTTCCCGTCGCTGCTTCGTGACTGTGCCCGGGACCCTAAGAAAGCCAACGGACTACACACGCTGGAAGGTTGGACGCAACAGAGTTGCATATACGACACAAAGTACCATGAACATCTTTCTTCTACCTACCCCCGTAGCATCAATCATTTTCTAACCAGAATAGGGGTAAAAATCGAGTCGCACTGCCTCGTACGAATCAGCAATTCCATGGAACGGTTCGGATGAGAGGCCTGCACTTCGTTTTAGGATGGCAGAAAGATAGAATGAGGGTAGAATTGTTGCCGAGAATCTCAGCTGCTTGGTCAGGATTTGCCATCATATGGCTTTGCCTAGTCCTCTGGAGGGCGACTGGGGGGGATTGGGGAACGGCTCTAGCATTCGCACAAGTTGTTGCAGCATCGTTGTCCATCGTCATCATCCATTTCCAACGATAGTCTCGACATGAGGTAGGTTTTTTTCGTAGGGCTTATAGCGCCTCCTGCACTTTTCTGGATGTCGCGTATCTTGCGGAGAGCGGTAAGGCTGCACCAAGCATCCCATACCAAAGTACACGCTGGTGCGAACAAGGGCCCGGACTGCAGACATAACAAGGAGCATTCCTGTCACTTCTTCAGCCTGGTACGATAAAGCACATGGAGTGTAGGTCTCCTTGATTCTGTCTGGGAGAAGATGGTTAGAATCGTTCGTATAAGTCTCTTTGAAACTCCATCCTCACCCTGTCCAGTACAGTTTGAACGCCACTCAATGACATCGTGCCGACCCTGTTCCTCTCGTCATGGACACATTCCTACTTGAGCTATCCCCCTTCCACCAGCAACATGTCCCAAATGGCATCGAACTATCTGGTTAACCCTGACGATCCCCTAATACTTAGTATCAACAAACATCACCAGCCATTTGCCCCGGGCCGTGACGATGCGGATGCTCCGCATGCGAAACAATTTGGTCAGGCGCCTGGCCAAAGGACCATATTGATGAGCAGTTGCGGGATTTCGAGACCCCATAGGACTCAAGTTTGGCGCTGGTCCGGCTTGGAGATGTCAAGTTTGATTTCGGATTCTTCTTCTACTTCAGACCAGTATCATTCCTCCTCGCACCATCTCAGAATCTCACGCAAACCTACTTCTCAGGATGAAATGTCTGTTTGCCTGACCCCAGTGTCCATTTAAACACGCCTGAATCTGAACCGTTGGTTCTACGAAGTGATCATGGTCTGCTATCCACTCACATTAATGTACGCGTCTTCATTGACGACATGAAAGATGTTTGGGGGGTTCTCATCTGGCTGTGGAGTTGGCCCCCGCAGATGGACGTTGTCTGATCAGTGGCCCGGTCAGTTCCAGAGAAGGGCCTCTGTCGAAGCCGATTAACTCTGTCACGCAATGCACATCTCAAGTCATCAGTTAACTTGCGCAGTGAGAGAACAGTAACGACCTCTGCGTGTGTCAATCTTGTTGAGTACGGAGAGTTCCCCCCCTGCTGGTCGGCCAGCCCCCCATTCTGAGAATGCCGTTTTTGCGAACGGTAAGTCAGGCCAGGCTTTGGTTGCAGTTTTCGAAGCACGCCTCAGTACTGTCGTTCCCTACCTAGCCACTTTTCATCTGATCATAAGAGCAATTCTTTGCTATTAGTTAATCCCGTAGTCCGCAGTCTTGTCCTGGCCTTCATAAATGCTTTTTCGGATTATTTACTATCGTCCTTACTATCTCTTTATACTTTTACCTTCCTTAGGAGTCTCGCATTAGTCTGCTCTTTATAGCCTGGTTGTAGGGAGACGTAGGCGAATGATGCTATATTAGTGTATATAGAGGACAGGGTTAGCCTATTATTTAGAATAATGCAAGCACTCTAAGCGCATTTTTAAGGCCAATTCCCAGGACGGACTCATGTACTGGAATACTGTGCGACGCAAGCTGGCGAGAGTCTAAAGAGGTAGCGCCTAGCCTCTGGTTCATGTCAGCCTTGAGAGTGTTTTGCTGAGGTGCAGGGCAGGGGATGAAAGATTAGTTATGTCAGCGGCATAGCGAAATCGGCCTCTGCCAACCCAGTCGTTAGCGGATGCGAAAGGGCGGCAACCAGCTGTTCTGAGCGTGGCATCACTCTATTTGCACATGGGGTTTCCTACTGTCGCCACAAGTCCCCTGGCTCACCTGTTGAGACAAAGCCTCTCGTAACCTGATTCGGAGGGTTCTTGTCTCTGGCATTGGCATTGTATTGACTGAGCTTTCATGTACAAAGTAATTTGATCTATATGAGGCGTTTCCTTGAGATCTTATAACAAACTCATATGATACTGTACCACAAATGCCCCTCGTTAACACAACGGAACAGGCGTTGCTACAATCCACACGCCCTAGAATCCCTCCTTCGAATCATTTATGGTCATCCCAGTCACTTTTCGCCATGCCTACTGCCAGGGCCGTTGACCCTTTCGACGCTGTCACTGCTGGGTCTGGTGACGTCTTTGAACCCAGGTTGAATGCTACATACTGATTCCTCCAGTGATCGAACAGCCAGCGATGGGAGGCGTGATCAATCCTCCCAGGCCTGCATGTTTCCTTGCCGGTCGTAGTAGCTACGCAAGACATGCCGCCAGGCACATCACAGAGGGCATGGCCGAAGCAAGATCTCAACCTAGCTCTATCAACGGACCCGATCTCTCTCTGGTCTTATTTTCCTCAACCATCTTGTCCACCTTCGACTGTGGCCTCACAATGATGAATAGTGTAATACCGGTTGTGCCTTCTCTCGGCGATATCTTGAAGAAGCTGCTCAGTTTTGTTGGCCCCAGGCTGCCAACGAAGTGCTGGGGTCCCATGCTAGGTCCAACCGGGGCATGGCCGTATATGACTGCCGCAAAGCCTTGAGCAAACTTTGTGCCGTTAAGACAGATGGCGACATGTGAAGCGGGTCGTGCTGGATCAATCCGAAACTCATAGACGTAGGTGGTCGTCAACTCGTCTGGAACCCAGCTGCTCACCGGTCTTGTTATGACGCGTTGCCCTTCTGGGAGGACGCCGAAAGGTTCACATAGGGTCTCATAACCGCCGGAAGGTTTGCCCAGAGTTTCGCCGTCTTGGAATGGCATGTTGATGAAGACAAGCGATTAACTCCCAGTCTTACAGTACAAGCTAAGAGGCAGCATCAGTATGACGCGTGAGAGAAGATGCATCTAAAAGTCGCAAAAGACTCATAGTCGAAGTCCTTCAGGTCGTGGCTTTGGTGCAGGTTCCGGGCTTTGTAGCCCACAATGGTAGTTGGGACTCGAATTGGGACTACAAATAGCACCCAAACCAAGGCTTTATCTAATAGCCTGCTTTTGGCTGCCTCAAACGACGAAGAGGAATAAGATGAAGGGTTGATACAATAGACAATGGGTGATGAGGACCCTCAACCTTCAGGAGTACAGTATCACACCACCATGTTGACCCGGAAAGTCGACATAGCATCACTCCACCACTTCCTCAACCAGCCTATTCATGCATCAATGGTCTCATACCTGGCTCAGGCTGCATCAGAAGTAGTGGTATGCAATCCGTTACGAGAAGGACTCTCAGAGGCCTACCAAAGCCGTTGCCAAGGACATACTCGCGAGTCCAGGGCCCTCGCAATTTTGAACCTTCGACTACCGCCGCTCGACAGCTTTATCCTTCATCTAAGCGCGACATCCAAGATCACCACCCCGATCCTCATGTCGACGATCATTTACCTGTCGAGGCTCAAACAGCGCTTGCAAGCATGTCAAGGATCGCCCTATACTTGCCACAGGATTTTCCTGATCGTCTTGATTCTGAGTGTGAAGTACCACGATGACACGCCATACACAAACAAGACTTGGGCCCATCTCAGCCATATCGTGACCCGGAACTATGCGTTCAGGTTGAGTTGCGACGACATCAATCTGATGGAAAGACAGGTATTATTGCTGCTCGACTGGAACCTTTGTATATCCGAAGATGACCTCTTTGCTGCGCTGATGCCGATCCTGCCCCGTCCAGAAGCGGATGTGTATGTCTAAGATTGGGATGAGGGGCATTGGCCGTTGATACGAATAGATTTCACGGATGGTTGTTACATACTGTATGGGCGAGGACGTAGATGCAAGGAAGTTTATGCTCCGTAATTGTCTGACTATTTCAATCTACTTTTCATCATGTATACTACGTCTTGCACCCCGGATGTACTGCCTGCCGCCATAATTAGTTGAACCACCACTCGACTCGTACGCGCCCCGCATCAAGCGAGCCAACAAGATCGTTGAATACAGCCTTGGAGACGTCGATGTCTTCCGTGGCGCATCCCATACACTTATCCCGCACCGTAGCCTCCGTCATCTTATCTCCCATACGTATTGAAATAGTTCGGCCGCAGAACGGGTTGTCGTTTGACTGCTCCCCCATTTGGAGATGCGAAAGAGCGACGATGCTGTCTGTGTCATCTTTGCCGCTATCGTCCAGCCCGCAGGATCCCAAGCCAAGGTCGTAATAGGTCATTTCACCCTTGATGTGACTCGTTTGTAGAGGTTTGTCGAGGTCTGTCGGTGTAGCAGTGGGACTCGCCCTTCGAAAACAGGCAGCATCGGATTTCGATCTCCGAGCAAGCGCTCTTACAGCATTTCCGTGTGCCGGTGATACCGCGCCCAGTACCACACACAGCGCACTGATCAAGCGCATGCTGTCCTGTTCAGTGATACTCGCCGCGATTTCAATGCACAGAAATCGATCGATGGAGAAGGTACTGGACTGTACAGCACGCAAGTAGAGCACTCGAGGGAGAAGCCAGACCATGACAGGGTCCTACTTAAGTGTGCTGTAGTAAGCCAGGGACGCAATTGGGGCTAAAGCTATCAGTACAAGGCCAAAGCGAAGGACTCAACGCGAAAACGCGCTGAGATGCTGAGAATACTTAGGTACAACTATAACCCAACCATGGGGTAGGTTGAAGGCCACCTTGCGCGGGAGGGCATTTGCAGGTCACCAGGCTGTACATGCGTCCTCCACGACATGCATAACGATGAATGCCATGCCTTTTCCCAATCGACATACTCGCTACATGGCCATGTCCATCAGATCCAACCAGATTCCGACGCGCTACAACGTTCTCGCGGCCATCTGCGCTTGGATCACTCTGGCGGGTTTCATTGTCCTTCCCAACACCTTCACTTCCATCGAAAAGTCCGAAAGCCTCGGTCGACATTACGGAGGGCAGGCTCTCCAGGAGGCTGTCCGCAACGTGCAGCTCCTGCCTCTCGCCGGCGTTCTCTGCGGGATCGGCCTCTCAGGGTCATCTTGGCTTTGGTGGAAGTGGAGGAAGAACTACGTCTGGCTGATTGCACACGTCTTCATGTGAGTAAGTTGGCTGAGGTGCTGTTGAGTGGCTTGCGGTTGACAGGTGGCAAGACCTGGGGTCTCCCATTCACTGATCGCACTCTTCTCCGTCGTGATCAGCATCGCCACTAGCAACGGTGGAGAGTTTTCTATCACGGCCAAAGTGTCCATCAGCATTGTCTCAGCTATGTGCGGTATTTTGATCTCCCTCACGGTCATCTATACGAAGCTCCTGAATGGGATCATCACGGCCTTTGACAGACAAGTAGCACGGCAGTGAGGGCAGGGAGAGGGCTACTGCGATCGCTACGACTGTGCATTAGCATTTGAGAGTCCATATCAAGAAAAGATAGACTTGAAATAAAAGCCAGAACTACGGATCATTGTTTAAAAGCTCTTGAAGGCGTTGCGAACAATCGGCGGGTTCATATCCCCACCACAGACATCCCACTCACGCTGCGTACACTGCACCTGCTGGAGTGGGAAGCCCATTTGCCACCAGCTTCCCGTCAACCATAAAAAAAGCATATCTTTCGAGAGAATCGAGAAGATCTAGCTTGGGCAGCTGTCCCCTAAGCCACTCAGCGACTTCTCTACCGCCTTGGCTCAGTGGCAACGTAGAAAATTCAGTCAGCCAGATAGGTTTGCCACCACAGATGGCAGAAGCCCGCTGTATATGGTGGAACAGATCTGCAGTGCTCTCTGGAAAGGAGTACCAGTGGATTGGGCAAAAGTCATACACGCAGCCCTTCTCCTTGCAGACGTCTGCCCAGGCTTGGAGCCATTCTAATCCTTCGCCTGCCAGGTTGCTGTTCGACACTGTAGGTGCACCGATCCTGACCCGAGTCGAAAGTGGATTCATGTGCTTCACGTGCGCGTCTGCAGCTTCCATGGCACTCCTGTTGCATTGTGAGGCAATGTCGCATTCGTTGAAGCTCAGGACATGCCTGGACCCTTTTCTAATCATATCCTCAACATTCAGCTTCCACCGCTGAGTATGATCGTCTGCTGGGCTCCACAGCATCGGGACAAAGTCGGTGCCCCTTCCGATGAGGCCGGTGTCTCGCGAGTCCCAGTTGTACGCCCAGCTACATGACTCACACATAAGGCTGCTCGCGAAGAAGTACTCAACTTGCCGGGCATCGTTGTAGGCCAGGCCGCGTTTTCCTCGGAAGCCCAATCCAGCGGCGGAGTCACTGGTGACCTCACACGACAGGTCTCTGCCTTCATAGCGTGATGGATGTTGACCTGAGCGCGAAGAGAAAGTGCTTGGCGACGACGCAAGGAGTATAAGTAAATGGGAAAGCATGAGAAAGGTAGGCTCTGTATCAGCTGACGACTGTGAAGGAACGTGAATAGAAGTGAAGGGGTGTAAAGGGATGTAAAGGGATGTAAAAGAACAACAGGTCGGCATATATATCAGTCAATCAGATACATAAGGTGGTATGTACTCATGCATGGCTGGCCAGACCTGTGCTACATGGCAAATGACATGTAGCTATTTTGATCAAGACTGTACTGCACAGTGCAGTACTGTATGTATGCATGGCTAAAGCAGATATGAATTTATCTTAGTCCCTATTCACGGCTTGAGCGCCCACTGGTTCATGGCGCAGACCATCATTTGGTCCGCTTCCTCTTCTTCGCCTTGCCTTCGTCGACTTTGCCTTCCACGGCACCCCCCACCTTTGCATCAGGGACTTGTTCCTTCCCCTCGTCACTACAGTGATTGCAGTGGTTGTGACGGCACTGGCCGCGAGACGAACCATCACGGTCCGCTTCCGCTCCCATCTCTTGTGCCAGGCGCTCTGCGAGGGCCTTGTTTTCGGCTTGGAGCTCCCGAAGTTGCTGCCCCAAAGCCCTGTTCTGGCCAATGAGCTCGGCCGGTGTGGTACCGATTTCTCCGTCGAATAGACCGCTAGCGATGTCCAGAGCTTCGGCGTGCTCGGCTTCGAGAGAGCGAAATTGCAACTTGAGTGATTCGTGCTCGATATGATCAGCCGCCAGCCGGTCATTCTTTGCGGTCATCTCCCCCAAGGCGGACTCGAGTTGCACGATGTGTGTCTTCTTCATCTCCAACACTGCCTCGACCGCTTGGTTGACTGATCTGCATTCGGCCAACTCCTTTTCCGCATTGTCGAGCTGGGCGTGAATCTCGCGTGCTCGAACAATTTCGCTGTTCTGCATTTCAACGGTCTCTTGGAGCTCACGCACGGCCATGTCATTCAACTGGCTTTCCTTCCTCTTTTCTTCGAGTTCGGCTCTTGCATTTTCGAGCTCTTTCACAACCTTCTGGAGGTCTCGGGCCCTCTTCTGGGCCTCTTTCTGTAGCTCGCCATAGCTGCTCGACCAGCGAGCGTTCAGGTTGTTGTGCTGCTGCTGTAGAATGTAGGACCGCTCTAGGTTCTCCTTCTGCGCAGCGTCGCGATATGTGTCCAGCGTCCTGCGCGCCTTATCAAACTGCTGAATCAAGGACCAGAGGTCGTAGTCTAGCCGTCCGGCCAGGTCATCACCGCTCAACCCGCCGTTACCGGTGAAGGACTAGGATGTCAGTAGAAAGACTGGAAACCTGTGGACGAGACTACTCACTACGTTTGCGAAGCGGCTGTCCTTGATCGCTTGGCTTTGCAGTGCCATTGCGGCGGAGTGGCCTGCCTCTGTCTGGGCGGACTGGTCATGCGTCATAGTGAAGGATGAAGAAAAGTACCGGCGGTCTGGTCGAGTGTGGTATGGTCTGGTCTACGCATCTACGTTTGTTTGTCTTAATCATATTCTGCATCCGTTTATATTCCAATTTGCTGACGTATGGGAGTGGTGAGCACGTTGAGGATATGAGCCTGATTCACGGCCCTGCCCGTCCAACATGCGGTCAAGAGCAACTGGCCAGGGGCAACTGACCGTTTCACGCAACAGCGCAACAAGGACAGAAACAGGTCCCTGCCATGCTGCTATCATAAAGCCGTTCTGGATGGGACTACGACTGCAAGATGCTGTGCCTGTATCATATAGTACATACTGTTACGCGGTTGCGAAGACGCTCTCAGCAAGCTATGGACCCCGTTACTTGGTATGCCCTAGCAATTGGGGGACCTCTTTCCACATCCATCGTAGTGAACCTAGCCTTGCTCACGTTCAACGCTTTACGATACCTAACCCATGGCAACCTCCTGCATTATCTCTCGTGGAAAACTATCTTTCGATCAACACGCCTTCTCAGGCGAATTACCTGGCTTCGTCTCATGCTCGCTGTTCTCTTCATTGCCGCCAATGCCGTACCACTGGCCGTCGGTGTTCATGACGTCTCAGGCTTCGTCCGGCGGTCAGGCGTTTTGTCCGTGGTCAACATGGCACCGCTCTTTCTGGGAACTCAGATGAATGTGATTGCGAGTGGCTGTGGGCTGAGTTTACGGGCTCTTGTTGCTCTGCATCGCTGGCTCGGCATCATGGCCATCGTCCAAGGTCTCACCCACACCGCCGTGGCGCTGTCGACTGAGTCATCCACTGACGTGGGGAAGTTCAGCGACACTTCGGGCATTGTGGTGAGTAGGCATGGGCAAGCATCAACGGGGGGCGGACCGAAGAGTGATGCTGAGGCATGTCTAGGTTGCGAGCATCATGGTCGCCTTCCCTTTGACTAGCATTATTCGACGACGCACATATGAAATGTTTGCCGCCGTCCACTTTGGCCTCGCCGTGTGCGCTGGTGTCTTCGTCTATCTCCACAACCCTACGTCGAACGTGCTGGACGCGCCCAAGAGATATGTCGTGGCAGCCGGCGGCTGTCTGGGTCTCGGGTGGCTTGTACGGCTCGGCATGATGGTGTACCGCAATGTGCAGCTCGGCGCGCCTTCGAGTCGGGTTGCTGTGCGCACCATCACGTTCGAGCTGGGAGAAACAAGTATACCGGTCGAAGATGCTGTGCACATCCACGTCCGACTGCCAAGGCCATGGAATATTCGTGCCGGACAGTACGTCTACCTGACTGTGCCGGCGGTCAGTCACACAGCCGTGGTCCAGTCTCATCCATTCTACATTGCATGGTGGTATCGTGTCAACGACGACGATTACATCGTTCTCATTGCACAGAAGCAGCAGGGCTTCACACAGAAAATCTTTCACATGAAGGACAACAAGCTCACCAACAACTACCGCTCCAGAGCGTTCATAGATGGACCCTACGGTCAAGAGATGAACCTCGACGCGTATGACAATATTGTCCTCTTCGCGACCGGCATTGGAATCGCCGGTCAGCTTTCACACGTCGCGCAGCTTCTCAGGAGCTACTTCGACTGCGGCGTCAAGACAAAGAGGGTGACGTTGTTCTGGCAAGTGGATGCTGAGAGTGCGTCCAGCCCTTCCTCTGCATCGCGCGCGCGCCGCATCATACCAATTGCCGTGTGCCGTGTGCCACTTGCCGTCTTCTCTCCACTGACATGGCGTCGTAGTTCAGCTCGGGTGGGTGGCCGACAGGATGCAGCAGCTGCTGGAGCTCGACGAAAAAAGCCAAGTAAGTGTGGGGGCCTCTTGCTCCGGCAGCGACGCCCCGGCCCTGACTACCCTGTCAATGACCCATCTGGCGACGGATCTGGCGACGACGACGAGCTGACGTCCCCTAGGTCCTACACATCTATCTATTTGTGGTCGGCGGCTTCGTATCGCGAGAGGCTAGCGCAACCAATTTTGTCAACCGAGGCAAGCGCATCGTCGTGACGTACAAGGACATGGATGCAGCGTACCTAACGGATGCTGAGCTTGGCCAACATGGGGGTCGTACTGTCATATCTCGTGGGTGATTGTCGTCACCCGATCACCTCATGTCGTCTGATTGCTAATGAGTGTTCATCGGCAGTGTGTGCAGACCCCCAAATTGTCGATCGAGTCCGCGACGTCGTACAGCGCAGGGGGGGCGCCAAGGTCCGCTTGATCTGTCTGGACTTTGGCCCCGATAGTGCGCGTCGCCCTGGATTGTGCCTGGCATGAGACACGGGGCACGGGGATGCCGCGACGAGGTCCATGAGGGATGATCAGTCCGATGCACGTTCCACCTGTTGGTTGGCTGTTCGTCTGGCTGGAGGGACGGTTGCTGGGGCTGTCTCGCATGAGTCGTGGAGAAAATGATGTTTGGTGGGTCTGGCGGGTCAACGGTGGTCGAACAGGCGCTTCAACAGCTCCCCCGATTGGGTTCCGTCTCCTCGGGACGCCCTAAGTGTGGCTGGGAAGTGAGTAGTTCCGTTGTAGCCGGTCATCTATTGTGCAGAATGTGACGAGAGGCAGGGGCCCGCCGCTCAACCAGCAGAACCAGACAGTCACGAGAGGCTTTCCAACCGCGATGGGCGCAGGTCTAGGATGGGCGCCTCTTGGCACATACGAAAGAGGCTGGTAGGATTTGGCTCGACCTGTGAGCCCTGTTGCCGAGGCGGATGCTGCGCCCGGGAAAATAGAAACCACCTGATTTCTTTCCGGCGATGGTCTTGTTGGACCGAACGTGCTTACGAACCAGATTGAATTGTCAAACTAATGCGCTTGGCGCACAAACTAAGAAGTGAAGCCACCAACAATAATGATTGGAAATCCCGTTGCATTGCCTCTCAGAACACTTTCTAACATCAGCAGCATGAGGAACGCCAACAACACGCCCCTGATCGTGCCATCAGCTCGCGCAAACAATGGTCCCCCGCGGCTGTAAGCTTCCAATCCGTAGATCTGGCATGGCGGGGAAAGCACAGCCCACACGTCGGCCCGTCTGCCTCCTGTTTGCTGGACCAGCACGGGCCAGAGACCTAGTCCACCTCGTTGGGACCCCAGTTTGATGCCCCATGGCCGTGCCCGTCTTGCTCGTCATGTCCGCCTTTCCCGTCATGTCCGACTTGCCCGCCATGCCTGTCTTGTTCACCCCAGGAAGGCGGCCTCGCTTCTGCTTGAAATAGAAGCCCGTCACTTTCTGACCGATGCATTTCTTGAGGTTCTCCGGTAGGTGAAGCGTTGGCTGCGTGCTGCTTTTCTATTGATGGTCGGCATTTGGGTCAGTTGGATCGTGAACAGCAGCAAATGAAGGGCCGCTGTGTCTGCCAGCCTACCTTGGCTTCGATATCCTGACGCCAATGCAGGTCTGTCGACTCGTATGATACAAAACCACCGTCATCGGGGAAAAAGACATAGAGCGCGACTTCGATGTTGCCGAGGTTGCTGTAGTCCTCGCATTTCGTCAGCAAAGAGCCAATGTTCCTTCTGACGGCCTTCCTGTGTCGGACAGTCTCTTTTGGGGCCATTTTGTGTCTTGTCAATGTGGGACAGGACCGGGCCCTTCCATGACACCTACGGCCGCACTTAAGTATGCACCGCGAACTTGTCTTCGACGTGTTAGGCCCGCGCCATGGCCCTGATCGAGGAGGAGAGAACCTTGACGACCATCGAGGTCCTTATTTGGGACCTGAAACATGGGGGCTGCTGCAGGGGCAGGATGGCCGAGCCGTCACGACGGTATCATGATTGAGAACATTCACAGCAAGCAGTCGTTCGTTGAGGTATGGTACAGTACAGTACAGTACATGCGTTTTCCCGTTTCGTCCGGGCTGCAGACTATAGCAGCGTACAGGATGCAACCATCACGTCAGCCCTACGCTCAACTCAGCTCACCCTGCCCATGAGCCTCTTGCACAACCTTCTGCAACTCGCTCATCCACGCCTTCAGCTTCTCGATGCTTGCGTCCACTTCCTGACACATCCGCGCCTTGTCGTCCTCCAGTCTACCAGCCGTCAGCCAGGATGCCTGTCAATCTCGCCTCAATGCTTGACGTACCTGTTCTCCTGAAGACGGAGAGCTTCTTCAATCTTGTCCAGCCTGTTTGTGACATGCTCCTCGAACCGAGCAGCTTTGCGTACGAACTCCAGCACCTCGCGGCCCACGTTGATAGTCTCACCAGGGACGTCAACTGCAGCGGCGCCAGCCTCGGGCCCTTCGGCTGGCTCTTGATGTGGTGAAGAGGAGGCGGGAGGACTACCTTCTGCAGGGCGGCTTGCGTTGTTGTCCAAGTAGTATTGAGCATCACTGTTCCAGTCCCATGCATCGGACTGTGCGGCGGCTGCGCCTGGTGAGCTGGCCGGCAGGCCGAGAAGCGCATCCGAGAGCAGGTCGTCGGACATTTGCTGCATGATCGTATCTGACGTGTCGGGGATGGAGAAGTCAGAAAAGTCGGAGAAATCAAATGCGTTCCATGTTGACTGGGCTCGGTCGGTGGTGAGTCGTGGCAGCCCATTCAGCTCAGAGAATTGATGGGCCATCTTGAATCAACGGTAGTAAACAAGAATCAACAGTATGCAGTAAGGCAAGTGATCGGTGAGTGGTCCATACTATGGCACGCATCTGCCCTAGAATGTTCCGCCGTTGCTTTATACACTGATCGCCTGGTTCGATGTTCATCTTTGTCCGTTGTTCATGCTTGTCCGATGGTCATAATTGTCCCATGTTCGCGAACACTACTCGTAGTCTGTCTGTTGGGGGCCAGAGGACACCTGCCTGGGTGTCCCTGTCGACCCCAGTCCAATGGCGGCGGAATACTAGCGTGTTTGAGGTTGAATCGCAGTCCCAACTGTCGGACTGTAGCTTCTATTCTGGGTTCGGCCAGATGAATGTCCAGGACTTGGGAATAAGATCTTCGACGGTCTGCCAACAAAAGCAAGGCCCCGACACAGGTTCGGAGGCAACAGCTTGAGAGTTGAGAGCCCACCCGGTCCTTTCAAGAATCCCATTCCACAGCACATCAGCACCAACATGGTTTCTCCAATCTTGGGCAAGGTAAACTGCCTCCCCAAAAAGAACGTCGAGAGATTGAAGTGTCCTAACTATGACCAAGGCGATTGAACCTGCATCAACACCTGGCGTCTTTCGACCTGACAGCCTCGTTCATCACACGTATCTTCTGGAAGCCTCGGAAAGACTCTACAGACTATGTTGCAAGGTGGAACGACCGACAAAAAATGCAGAGCACTGCTGTCGGGGGAGCGCATACGAGATTGCGTACATGCGAGAACATCAACAGCTGCAGCGGGCCCTCGCGGCGAATCGCGCCCTCGTTCAGCAGCTTTCTCAAGCCCGCGCTAAGGCAGCCTACTACGAGGAGCTGTGGACAGCCACGGGCGCCTCGCGCCAGAGGCAGAGATTTGTCGCGAGACATGGATGTGGCAATCGCAACGCACCAGCAAGATTGGTAAGCCCACACGTCTCTTACCAGCCAGATACTTGTACGAGCTCGGTTCAGCACGGCAAAGTCGATTCGATGGATTCCGCACAGGTTTGGATGCGTGGTGGAGATGGTCGATACGTTCTTGTCCCTGTCTACGTAACTATGGTCACTGGTTAGATAGCGAAGTCCATGTTTTTCCCCTTGAGCAGAGATCGCTTTGCCGTACTGCCATGGCCGGGAGTGTGATCGTCAACGTCGATGGAAATCATTTGGCCATCGTGATGCCATGAAATAGCCGAGACATCCTCAAATGCAGCTCGTGGCATGGTGGCGGAACTAGTTTGCGCCGCAGGAGGGAGGCCATCCCTCAACTGCAGCACAGTTTTGACCCCAACTTTCAGCCATTGCCACCGAACAATATAAGAAGCACCCGGTTATACATTGACCTTGTTCAATTCCCTCTACTAAGCTCTGCGTCTTACAATAATGGCATACACCCAAGCGGGCAAGAAGTGACAAAGCCGAGCCGAGCCAGCATATCATGTTCCGGCCACTCCTCGGACACAGAACCAGTGAAGATCAAGCCGATGTTGATGCTGTGGCCACGATGTTATCGACAGTGTCTCTGGGCAACCATCTCAGCTGTGAGACTATGGGTCATCGCCATAGTTGACCGCAAATTAGTTGGTCATTGAGACATTATCTACATCGCCGACAACAAACTACAGCTCATCATCATTTCGCGTGATTCAACATTTGTCAAATTGCGTTTTATGCGTATCTTGTAATCAGCCTTCAATCGAGAGCATGACCACATCATATGGCTATCGTATCGGTACACGACAGTCGAGCTCAGCGCAGATGTTTTGTACAGGATAATGCACGCGCAAGTTCCATCTCATAGGTGATCTATGTGCCGCCGTCTCGTGGCACCTGATTTGGGGCTCTGGCGGTCTGTATTCAGTCAGGTCCCAGGTCTAGTCCTTTGACCCCGCAACGGCACCAGGATGTGTTCACATTGGGCCACATATGATCTCAAGAAACCCCATTCTGACGTGTATCTCCACGATCGCTGGAGGAAAGGCAAATCGAATGATGTCCGACCGACCTCGAATGCCGACTCGAAGGCGTGACAGGAAGAAAGAAAACTTTGCAAAGAGTATGCGAAACGTAATGAAAAGGCTGGCAACGATCCACGAGAAATACGGTGCCGAGATCTATCTCTGTGCCAAATACTCGAGATGGTTCGAGTTTAGCACTGATACCAACCTTCCACCGAGCGCGGAAGAAGTTGTACGTGACCTATCGACAACGCCAGTCATACTCACTCACCATTGTCCAGGAAAATGCATATCCTTTAACGGTCAAAAGGAGTCTATCGTGCTTCAGGAAGTCGCCTGATGCTCCTACTGACCGAAGGCAAACGCAAACGAAGCAAGACGCATGTACTCACGATTAGCAACAGGGAATGGGAACAGTGTGTCTGTACTCGAGATGACGGTTCGATCTATGACGTTTCTATATATGATAATGTAGAAAATATCACAACCTCACAGAAGTCATCGGGTCTTCTCACAGATGTCGTTGGCTGCCGGATGATATGACAGGGTACCTGGCGGTTGAGCAGAAGAAACGGTGGCTCGCATGAAATGGGACCACAATCAGTCGATGTGTGAATGATGCAGACTCAAAAGTAGCTTTAATATAGAAAGATCGTGTCTAGTCCACAGGAAGCAACATGTAGCTGTCAAGGAGTTCTTGCAACGAGTGAAGCATGGCAACTGTTGGTCTTTTGAGGGGGGGAAGGGGGGGTCTCTAATGAGTAGAACAATCGATACCCTCCTCTTCTACCTACAGAACGGTGTTCCTCCTTGCAAGTAAGATAGTCTCGTATGATTTCGGTCCTCTCTTCCGCTCTGTATCACTTCCCCGAAACAGCTGGTGTCCCACAGTTTTCTGATGGCTGTTAAAGGGTTCTGGCAGTAGCCTACTGAATGGGATCTTGACTCTTCTGACAGCACCGTCCTATGGACATTCTTCCACAAGCACAAAGCTGGCTAGCCCCCGCGTTGCGACTGGATGTGGCAGACTTCACCGAGTTCAGCTGGCTTCGTTGCAAGGTGGAACGTTCTTGCAACCCGAATGCCTTCTTGCTTAAAGGTTTCAATACCTATGTGAAATTGAGAGGCCGGCAGTGGGACGATTGCTGCTCGGCCTGCTGTCTGAATGAGAAAGACTTACGGGGAGAGGGGCTAAGAGTCACAAGAACACTACTGTAAAAGCGGACCAACGACAGCGTTGAGAGAAATAACATCGATTACTTCATCTATACTGTAGAAAAGACTCATGAGACCAATTGCTGCTTGTCCTTCACTCGTCGTGAGAATTAGGTTACAGGTGCAGATATTAAAGCCGTCCGCGGCGTGATTGTGCATGCAAGCCTCCAACAATCCAATGGCATGATCAAATATAAACAGCTCTGCTAACTATCGATTCCAGGGAGCCAGCCCTTTGCATACGCTCACGGAAGAGATCGCACACGGGAAGTCACCCTACTAGCCAGCCATCTCGTCCTTCTGAACCTGCCACGCGCTCACCATCTCTGATTTTTCCTTGATGCTCATTTCCGAGAAAGACTTCCCAAGCAACTCTGCATAGCTTGCCTTAAAGTCAGTCAACGCGTCGCTGAGATCGTCTGCGTCCTGAAATTGAACTTTTCGGCCTTGGTTCCCAACATCGTGTGATTGGGCTCGGAAACGAGCGGTGTTTATCTCTGCGAGCCCTCGGGAAGGCGACCGGCTTGTCGCAGCCCGTAGTCCTGCCTCGGTATCATTGTAACGGGCTTCAGCTTCACATGCCGCTTTGTAAATAGCGGCATCGGCGTCCTTCTTCGTCCATCGGTTCCTGAGACTCGACCTCGTTTCCCACGACTTCTTTCGATTGCCGTCGATGTCCCACATGATCAAAACATATGTTGTTGGCCACTTATCGACAATGGCGGGATTTATCAGATTCAGATCATTCTGACAGCCGATGGGGCATGCCCAAGCCACTCCCCAGATGCCAATGATATGGCGCTTGGTGTATCTCCACTTCCCACTGGGCAGCTTTTTGTCGCCGTAGCGGTTTTCCGAGTTGGTTACTTTATATGGATCCTCGTCGTTTCTCTCTCTCTCTTCGTACTCGGCAGATTCGGCGAACGACTCCAAGCGATATTTCGACGCACTTTTTCTCCCGTGGCGGTTTATATAGAAAGTCGTCGTTCCACGTCCCCAACCAACCGTTTGAAAATGTTCCGAATGCTTTAGGGTGTGTCTAACGAAGAGAGCCTTCTGACCATCTTCGTCGAGCTCAAACTTGTTATCATCTTGTGGTGGACTCTTGGGGCGGACGAAGAGCGGCGACCCAGCGCTGCTGTCGTTGCTACGGGCGTTGTTCGTGTTGTTGCTCTCACTTTCTCCTCGAGAGGCCTCAGTCACATTGTGTTCATTGTGATTGATTCCCTTGTCGTGGCTTTCAGGAGCCGAGTCGTTTTGTTCTTCCTGTCTGGTCGTCGCACCTTCGCCTTCGCCAGTGTTTTCTTTGACATTTTCGTCAATGGGGGCGTTCTGTGTAGTGCTCTCCGTCTCTTCCTTCTTGATTTCTTTGTTTTCATCTGAATTCCCGTCTCCGCCCTTTTCATCATTTTGTTCTTTTTGATCCACATCCATCGAATCAGGAACGCTAGCCAAGTCTTTAAGCAAGTTTTCTAGTCGTTCAATTTCCACCTTGTATTGATTTTTCTCTTCTTCATCCTTTGCTCTACCTTGCTTGAGCTTTTCGTTCTCAAGTTCCTGAGTCAACTTATTTCTTCGTTCTTTAGCAGCCGAACCGTTCTTCTGCGACTTATTGATTGAGCTGGATGCTATGGCCATGACGAAACGTTAATGATTCGAGGACAATTGACTTCAAGTCTTCCCTGGGTTGTCGACGTGATGAAATTTCTGCCTGCTTAGAAGTCTGTTTTCTCCTAGTATTTATACAGCAATGTGGTCCTTCGACTAGGTGCTGACCTATGTCTGCTCCGGAGGTCCTCCGAGGTCCCAAATGTGGACCATCGAATGAACGACAGTCGAGGCCCAGAATTCTGGCTTTTTCTTCAAGTCCCAGGCCAGGGCTTAGGAACTTTTGGCTATGTATGTTGAGTTCTCACCTGACCTTGCCAATTCGGTGCACGCTTCATCTACAGCTATTTGGACGGCCTTTCTTTGTATGACACATGGTGAAAGAGAGGCCTTCCCTCCTAGATCTTCACGGCAGCTGCAGACATGGGCGTGCATTGAGATCGCCTCGTGAACACAGTTCGACGAGGTATCAATACGGTCAATTTGTCTATGAAGAAATCGATCTGCTACTCTAAGAAGGGTTTCAATGTCGGGTGGCCCGGGTTCTTTTCGTGGGAAAAGACAGCCGACATTGCTGGACATGGTGTTCGGTCACCAGTGACGTGTTCACCGACTCTTCGAACGGCAAAGTGCGGTTATATTAGAAGGGCAGATGAGATATGTGTGGTGTAATGGATATCAAGGGAAGCGCAGCTTGAAAGGAACGAAATATATTGGATCATAGCTTACTTGCGCAAGGTGGTATGGATCATAAGCTGTGATAAACTATGTCTGCCCAGCTCATTCTACTAGTTCGATAGGCTCGGTTCCAACCAGTCTCAAATGGTAGTGCGTCACGTAAAGAATGGCAGAGCACTACCCAGTAGCCCTAAGGCACACCCGCAACAGAGACAGCCCACTGACAGTCCAAAAACGCCCCCCTGCTCTAAGTCTACCCATGCTGGCAGGGCAGACCGTATGACCATCTGGAGCCCAACTGCCAGCATGAAGGGAAGACAGCATACTAAGCCAAGAAGAAGATGAAGCCCGCTTTGGAAAAGACGGAAAGGCATGATCATGCTCATCATACATGAACACCAACCCTTGAGAACAGAGATATAGAAAGCGAAAGCACCGATGATGAAGACGATTCCAGCAATGAAGCAGTTCATGATGTGAGGCGCGGTCATGAAAGCAAGACCTCTATCATTCAAAAACTTCGAATCACCGAACGCCTTATTCAACACCTTCAGTGCTTCTGACGGGATAACATCCGAAATCTGGACTGGCAAGCGGTGACAGAACTTGTCTGCCAGATCGTCGACACACATGTATCGTGTTCCGACGTAGAACACGTGCGGGATACTCGGGATGGCCTTGGACACCTGAGTTGCGACTGCGTCCGCAACGCTGCGGACTCGGCTGACCGAGTCAGGGATAGCTGTCTTGACTGTGTCTCCGACTCTAGATGTGACGGCATCGATGTTGCCTGGTGGTTTGGGCACTTTGGATACTTTGGGCACGTTGGGCACGTTGGGTATTTTTGGTATCGTGGGTGCTTTGGATACCTGTCTCGGCAAGATTTCTTGCAGCTGTTGAGATAGGTCAAGCTACAAGGCAAATCAGCACCAAATCTCGTACCATCCTCATAGACCCGTCATGAGTACCTTTATTGTGGCGATGCCTGACTTGGCATAACCCTGGGAGAGGCCCAAGGCAGCTAAGATAAGGCAACATAACACACAAATGAACATGGACACAGCTAGAAAGACTTTGTAGCCACCGGGTTTGCGCATTCGAGCTGTTTGCACGAGCGATGGTGCGTCAACTCTGATACCTTTGGTGTTTGGGTTGGGCGTTTTTCAGGTAATAACAAGGAGTTTAAGGTCAATTACGAATTCCTGAAGAGCCTAAGAATAGCTCTTATATGGCTTGGAGCAATCCTAGTGCTCGCTGTGACCCTGAAGGCGGCCTAGAAAGGGCCCTTAAACTGGGCCCGGAAATGACTATGAGACTGACTCTTCCATTTTCGCTGCACATACACACACACACACACACACAAGTTTATTACGCCTGGTGGCCTAGAGCCAATAAGGCACTATTTGCTATTGTACACGGTCGCTTCCTCTAGTCTGTCCGAATCTCCCAAGCCCATAATAGGTCATCTTTCCGCTCTTGCTTTCTCGTCTTCTGTCTTGCCGCCGGTTTCTCGTGGGGTTTAGATTGTATTGGCAAGCTGCTTGAAGGCTATTCTTCAAGTGTTCAGAGTCCTATCTACGGCGACTGAAGCGGCGCTTACTGTTGTTGACACGAGGTGTGGGTGTTAGGTTCGGTTAGTAGAAGAAGGGGGGTTTTGGTGTGTTAGGCCCCCGCAAGGGATCACACGTTCTCCAGTCGGCCCGTGGCCTTCGCAAAGCGTATCGTAGCTCGGACTGCTTTCATGTCCGGCTTCCAATCATCACCATCTGATGTCGTCTTACCTCCCAAATGGAAGGAGATGTTGTCTCTTTGTGTGCCAGGGCGCATGAGTGTCTCGGCTCGTTGTGTTGCCCATCGTGTGCATCGGAGGAGAAAGTGCTCCACCGTCTCTCTCGCTTGTCCGCATGCGCATTGGGCTGAAGCTACTGCCCTGATTCGGAAAAGTGAGGCGTTCAGTCTCGCCATGCCTGTCCTGAGCTGGGCCAGCATGCTCGCCTCCATCCAGGAAAGGTTATCATATAGTTCTCGAGTGTGCTTGCCGGGTAGTGCTATGTCGACTTCCTTCGAGAGTTTTCCAACATTATCTGGTAGTCGTCTTTCCACACGTAGTTTGCGCCTTGCAGCGTTGAGGGTGGTGGATCGCATCTTTGGGAACTGTTTTTCAGGCAAGGCGCCATCTCGGCTGGCCTTGCGTGCTTCTCCTTTCGCTTTCTTCAGGAGGTCGTCGTCGAGATGGCTCGGAAGCCACACGACTGAGATGGTGTTCCCGGTTTCTCGCAGTCGGGTGATCGCCTCGTAGATGCAGCGAACGTACTCTTGTCCAGACTGTTGTTGGGGGTTTCGAAGTGTCAGCACCGCGGCTTTGTTGCTTGTCAGTAGCGTCACGGTCTGCCCCCTCAGCTGCGGCAGAAATCGCAACGCGTATGCTGCCGCTACCAGTTCTCCGGAAAATGGGTTCTGATCGGTCCTCATGCCGTGGGTGAAGGAAAACGTCTCGAGCCTCGTCCCTGGCCCCTTGACGGTTCCACCGACGCCGACCACCTCGTTTCGTGCCGAGCTGCTCACAGCGATGCGCACCGTGGCCTCCTCATCGACCCGCGTCAGTGTTGCATCCTCGTCGTTCCATTCAGTGACGGTCTGCACTCTTTCCATCCACGGCGGCAGTGTGAATGGGTTGATTGTTTCCAGGTCCTCCATTGGAATTTCGTTGAGCGAAGTTGCCAGTTGGAAAAATGGTGAGCGGTGGAAGCGCCTGAACTTCTTTATGCGAGAGGTCAGTTTTCGAAGCGGGTTGGTCTCAGGCAATGCGTGGAGATCTGTCCATAGCTTGATGGCCCTTCTCGTGAATCGCTCTGGTGCACTGGCGATGTGAGCCTCCGCTTCTGCTACGCTTGTGGCTATCGTGACGAACGCTCCAATAATTGCCTGCGCTCCGACCTTTTGGACGCGATAGATTGCTGCTGCCGTCCGGTCTTTGCATCGGTGCCTCCAGACGTTAGAGGCATAGTCCACCACTGGGGCCACGGTGGCCGTGAATAGCTGCCGTGCTGTCGCCGGGGTCAATCCTCTCAGTCGTTTCAGCTCCATCGCAGCCTCTAGTCCCTTGGTCGCAACTCTTGCAATGTGTTCCCTGTATCTGAGTCCAATGTCCATGATCACGCCGAGGATCTTGACATGCTGTTTGGGTTTGACTGTTTGGCCCTTGATAGTGAAAGGTTCCGAATCGGACCTTTTGGCCCATCGGGTGAAGTGGATGACCGCCGTCTTGTCCGCTTCGAAAGTCGCCCCGCTTCTCTGCTCCCAGTCCAGTGCCTTCTCGATGATCGCCTCGATCCCTTTACGGTTGTCTTGCGTGGTTGGTCCAGCGACCCAGGATGTGAAGTCGTCGACAAAGGCTATAGCTCCTCCATAGCAGTTGATCTTCTGTTGTACAAGGTCGGCGTTGAAGAACAGAAACAGGATCGGTGACAGTGGCGATCCTTGCGGTAGTCCAGCCTGAGGCAGGGTCCGGACCTCTGATGCTTGGCCGTTGACCTGAATTGTCGCCGTCCGATCGGAGCAGAATGCCTCTACCCAACGGAGCAAATCTTCTGGGAGGCCCCTCGCTCTCATTCTCTGAATGAGTCTCTCTTTGCATACTCCATTGTATGCTCCCTTCACATCGAAGCTCACGAGGCTGACCACCCAACGATTTCTCCATGCTGCGTAGATTTGTTCTTGCAGCAACACCAACGCTTGTTCTGCTGACCTCTGTTTGCGGGCCCCGAAGTGGTTCGTGGGCAACAGCCCATGGGTTTCGACTGCATGGGATATCCTCTCCGCAACAACCGACTCGAGAACCTTGCCGAGCGTGGCGAGGAGCGAGATGGGCCTCCAAGCCTTGGCGATGGTGTAGTCTCCTTTGCCGGGCTTCTTGAGCGGGATGATCTTGGCATGCCTCCATTGGTCGGGGAGTACTCCTTCCTCTAGCGATGCGCGGAAAATCGCAAGGACACTGTGCTTGACGGCTGGCCAAATCTGTTTCCAGACCATCGCCGGCAACCCGTCCTCACCGGGTGCTTTCCACGATTTCGTCGCGAAAAGCCGGCGCTCGACTTCTTCCATCGTGATGTCAGGCATGGTGACAGCCGATTCGCGCTGCGGCCTCTCACCCTCCTCTTCGATGTGCTCTGGTGGGGGCGGGAAGAAAGTCGTAAGCAATTCTTCCGCTTGCTCTTTGCCGTTGGTCGTCCGTGTGCCATCAGCCTTTACAAGCTGCGGCACCTTGCCGAATGCCGCGTCGTCGCCCGACTTGAGATACTTGGCGGCCTTCCAGATGTTGTCGTTGTCGGCCAGAAAGTCGTTCCAATGGG